GAGAGAGAGAGTCCCTCTTTAAACAGGGTCCCTGATGGAGGGAGGGAGAGATTCCCTCTCTAAACGGGGCCCCTGATGGAGGGAGGGAGAGATTCCCTCTATAAACGGGATCACTGATGGAGGGAGAGAGAGACTCCCTTTTTAAACGGGGTCCCTGATGGAGGGAGAGGGAGACTCCCTCTTTAAACGGGGTCCCTGACGGAGGGAGAGGGAGACTCCCTCTTTAAATGGGGTCCCTGACGGAGGGAGAGGGAGACTCCCTCTTTAAACGGGGTCCCTGACAGAGGGAGAGAGAGACTCCCTCTCTAAACGGGGTCCCTGATGGCGGAAGACAGCTGGTTAGTGATCCCCTATTTGTGGAGATGGACCATCCTGGGGAGTGACTGAGTGAACCTACCGTGTCTGTCGTCAGCTTCCTGCCTACCCATTGACCTGTGTCGCTTTCTGTCCTGATAGGTCGCCTGAGTTTAGTGGAAGGGGCATCGCTACGGATGGAGCGGTTACAAGCTCAGGATGAAGGCTGGTATCGTTGTCGGATCTTATTCCTCACACCTCCCTATGATTCCCAGAACGGGACGTGGACCTATCTCTCTGTTAGCAGTGAGTTCCCATTCAAACTGCACCAGTCTACACTCCCTCTACTCTGCTGAACTGAACGTAAAGCTTACCCTACACTGCCCCCCTACCCCATCAAACACTCCCAGGACAGGAACAGCACGGGGTTAGATACAAAGTAAAGCTCTCTCTACACCTTCCCCCCATCAAACACTCCCAGGACAGGGACAGCACAGGGTTAGATACAGAGTAAAGCTCCTTCTACACTGTCACCCCCATCAAACACTCCCAGGACAGGGACAGCACGGGGTTAGATACAGAGTAAAGCTCTCTCTACACTGTCCCCCATCAAACACTCCCAGGACAGGGACAGCACGGGGTTAGATACAGAGTAAAGCTCCCTCTACACTGTCCCCCATCAAACACTCCCAGGACAGGGACAGCACGGGGTTAGATACACAGTAAAGCTCCCTCTACACTGTCCCCCCATCAAACACTCCCAGGACAGGGACAGCACGGGGTTAGATACAGAGTAAATCTTGCTCCGACAGCGCGGTGTTCCATCTGCGATCATTGACTGAAAATTTGTTGCTGATCTGTAGCCACAGTACAGTGGCTCAGTGGTTAGCACCGCTGCCTCCCAGCAGCAGGGACCTGGGTTCCATTCCAGCCTTTTGCTGTCAACTGTGTGGACTTTGCCTGTTCTTTTTCTGCTTCCCCCCACCCCGTGTCCGTGCGGGATTCCTCTGGGTGCTCCGGTTCCCTCCTGTGGTATGGAGATGTGCAGCTTAGGGTGGGTTGGCCGTGGAAAACGCAGTGGTAGTGGGATGCCCTTCCGTGGGCTAGTCTGGGCCCGATTGGCCAAACGGCCTGCTTCCACGTTGCAGGGGATTCTAGGACCCTCCAGATCCTCTTGAGGACTATGTCCAGTCTTGAATCTTCTTACTCAAGAACACATCTGTCGGAGACAGATGCAGTTCACTCAGTTGATTCCCAGAATGTATGGGCCATCATCTTTGGAAAGGAACGGAATCTATTGGAATCCGTTGAAGACTGAGAGGTGATCCCGTTGAAACGTACACGACCCTGAGAGGATTCCAATGTGGACTTGGGGGATCTGGGGGAACTCAGGTCAAAAATGATGATCTCCTGTTTAATTTGAGGAGAATATTTTTGTCTCTGAGCGGTGATAGCCTGTGGAACCCTCTCAGACAGAAAGCACTTGGGGCCTGGGCCATTCAATCTATCCTGCTATAGGAAGGATGTTGTGAAACTTGAAAGGGTTCAGAAAAGATTTACAAGGATGTTGCCAGGGTTGGAGGGTTTGAGCTACAGGGAGAGGCTGGGGCTATTTTCCCTGGAGCGTCGGAGGCTGAGGGGTGACCTTATAGAGGTTTATAAAATCATGAGGGGCATGGACAGGGTAAATAGACAAGGTCTTTTCCCCAGGGTGGGGGAGTCAAAACTAGAGGGGCATAGGTTTAAGGTGAGAGGGGAAAGATTTAAAAGGGACATGAGGGGTAACTTTTTCACACAGAGGGTGGTGCGTGTATGGAACGAGCTGCCAGAGGAAGTGGGTGGGGGCAGGTACAGTTACAGCATTTAAAAGGCATCTGGATGGGGATATGAATAGGAAGGGTTTAGAGGGACATGGGCCAAATGCTGGCAAATGGGACTAGATTAATTTAGGATATCGGGTCAGCACGGACGAGATGGACCGAAGGGTCTTTCTGTGTGCTGTACATCTCTGTGACTGTGTCCCAGCCTGAGTAAGATGGACAGTGGATTGATAAGGGAGTGGGGGGGTGCGCAGCAACGAAGGAAAGTGGAGTCGAGATTAAAATCAGGTCAGCCTCAATCCTGTTGAACAGCAGGGCAGGCCCGAATGGCCTCTTCTTGCTCTGAACTTTGCTCTTAAAGCGCGGTCAATGCTTGTGTGTGCAAACTCACACCCTCTCAAATCTTTCCACCTGCCCTCCCTCACCTACCCCAGCCCCACCCAGCTTCAAGAGGACCCCGCCGGCCGTGGTGGAAATTCAATTGGGAGAGCCGGCGCGCCTGCACTGCGACGCCCAGGGGCGGCCCCAGCCTCTCGTCAGCTGGGCCAAGGACGGGGCAGAGCTGCCCCTGACAACCGAACCTCCGGCCGGGCAACGATACCAGGTCAGAGGGCGGAACGTGTGACGCCCTGGGCATGGGTTGGGGGTGCAATGTGGGGTTTGTGGTGGCGCGGGGGGTGGTTGTGGGAGTGCGGTTGGTGTACTGGCATAGGACGCGGTGCGAGCCGCAGACACATTCGGTGGGGGGGGCGGGTGGTTAAACCGCGACGCTGCTGATCAGCCGCGTGGGGCCTCGCGGGCGCCGCCAACCAATCGCCTGCTCCCGTCCCGCGCGCGCGCGTTTGCCCAGTCACTCGTGTATCCGACCTCACCCACCCGCAACCCCAGCGACGGCGGGAGGAATGGGAATGGGATCTTGCTGTGCCGCTAACCACCACCCCCCCTCACCTCCCCCTCTGCAGGTGAGGAACGGGAGCCTGGAGATCGAGGCGGTGGGGCGTGGTGCTGCTGGGTTATACACGTGTGAGGCCAGCAATAGCGAAGGCAGGGTCACCCACACCAGCAGGCTACTCGTGAGGGGTAAGCACATCTGAACGCATCCTCTCCCCACCCCCCCCCCCCACCCCAATCCCCACCCCGTGCTGCCTCTCTGAGCAAACAGCTCCCCTCACTCTCCATCCACCTCCCTCTCCCTCAACCTGCACGTTCCTCCTTTCACAACAGCCTGCTCCGCCTTTCAATAAGGATCACGGCCGATCTCTCTCTCACGGGCTCAGCTCCACTTACCCTCCAGCTCTCCGTGACCTTTAATCCCTTTACTGTTCAATAATCTGTCTTTGCCTTCAAAACGTTCAGCGAGGCAGCTTCACCGAGCAGGGAATTCCACAGATTCACAACCCTTTGGGTGAAGAAGTTCCTTCCCAACTCAGCCCTAACTCCACTCCCCCCTTATATTGAGGCTATGCCCCCCCTGTTCCAGTTTCACCCGCCAATGGGAACAACTCCCCTGCTTCTATCTTATCTATTCCCTTCATAATTTTATATGTTTCTGTAAGATCCCCCCTCGTTCTTCTGTTCAGGTAACCATCTCGACTGACCCAGCTTCCCCCACACTCTCAGGCAATACATTCCCAAACCTAATCCTTTCCTGTGTCACAAGTATCCCCTTGCTGTTACTTCCATAGAATTCCCTACAGTGCGGAAGGGCTGGGCACTATGGGACAATTTAGCACGGCCAATCCACCCTAACCTGCACATCCCTGGGCACTATGGGACAATTTAGCATGGCCAATCCACCCTAACCTGCACATCCCTGTGCACTGTGGGACAATTTAGCACGGCCAATCCACCCTAACCTACACATCCCTGGGCACTATGGGGCAATATAGCACGGCCAATCCACCCTAACCTGCACATCCCTGGGCACTATGGGACAATTTAGCACGGCTAATCCACCCTAACCTACACATCCCTGGGCACTATGGG